GTGCAAGGTGGGCACAGGGCAGCGGGGCTGTGCCCGGGGTGTCGCTAGTGGGGTGTGTGGGGATGTGGGACCACCCTGCGCATCTCCATCCTCCGGTTCCTGGACAGCCAGGGGAGGACCAGTGCCCATGGGAGACCCCTCTGGGGCAGTTATGGCTCCAGATCACCCAGCTGAGGCTCGAGCCTGCTGCTCCCACCAGCATCTTTGGTGTCAGTGACCCTTTTCCATCTCCTCTGCCCCCTCGCTCGAGGGGACACAAGACCCGTCCTCCTCTCGGGTCATGTTTCCCTTCCCCCGGGTGCATCGGAGCCTGCCCACTTGTGCCTCCCCGACACCGGGGCTGCTCTGCCGGGGCCTCGGCACTGCTGCGTGGATGGACAGGCAGACAGACCCTGCTCTGCTGTCCCAGCCCAGGGGGGTCCCACTGGTGGGTGGCAGCGCGCCCTGACCCGCTGTGCCGCGCAGGGGGACCAGGGCGGCGAGCGCGTGCTGCAGCGGCGGTGGACGACCTTCCTGAAGGCGCAGCTGCTCTGCTCGCACCCCGAGGACGGCTTCCCCTTCAACGTGCTGCAGGACATCTTCGTGCTCACCCCGGCGGAGCTGCGCTGGAGGGAGACGCTCTTCTACGGGGTCTTCACCTCGCAGTGGTGAGCAGTGGGCAGGGCCCGCGGGGTGGAGGCTCGGCGGAACCGGGGTGCCTGATCTGTGCCTTACCCCGGCAGGAACAAGGGCGGGCTGGGCAGCTCGGCCGTGTGCGCCTTCCCCATGCGCAGCGTGCAGCGAGCCTTCGGCGGGCTCTACAAGGAGGTGAACCGCGAGACGCAGCAGTGGTACACGGACACCGGCCCCGTGCCAGAGCCCCGGCCGGGCACTGTAAGTGCCTCCTCAGAGCCGGCCCAAGTGCAGGATGCGGGGCAGCCCCTCGTGCTCTGCCTCCCGTGCCCCAGCTGAGCGCCGTCCTCTGTCCCCAGTGCATCACGAGCCACACACGGCACCTGAAGATCAACTCTTCCCTCCAAATGCCGGACCGGGTGCTGAACTTCATCAAGGACCACTTCCTGATGGACAGCGCGGTGCGCAGCCAGCCACTGCTGCTGCAGAGCCGCCTGCGCTACCAGCAGATCAGCGTCCACCGCACGCAGGGCCTGCACGGCACCTACGACGTCCTCTTCCTGGGCACGGGTGGGTGCCGCCGCAGGGCGGGGGCCGGTGCTGCGGGTGCCCCTATCGCCTCTCAACGCCATCCTTGTCTTTGCAGACGACGGGCGCTTGCACAAGGCCGTGCGTGTGAACCACGGCGTGCACATCATCGAGGAGATCCGCCTCTTCCCTGCCGGACAGCCCGTTCTGCAGCTGCTGCTGGACCAGGACCAGGCAGGAGCCGCGCACGGGCGTGCTGGGGGTGGGATGCTGTGGGGCAGCCCCTATTTGCGCGCTGGGGTCTGCAGGAGCACCCCCTCTGCATGGTTCCCACTGACCCCACTGTTTGCTCTCTTTAGGGCCTGGTGTATGCAGCCACCTACACGGCAGTGGCTCAGGTTCCCTTTGCCAACTGCAGCCTGTACCACAGCTGTGGGGAGTGCGTGCTGGCGCGGGACCCTTTCTGTGCCTGGAGCCGGGGTGCCTGCCGCAGTGCCACCGTGCACCCCCCAGCACACCCCCAGTAAGTGCTGCATCCCCTGCACCCTGCAGCACCCCGCTGCAGCACCCTGCAGCACACCGCTGCCCTGACCGCTCTCTGTCTGCAGTCTCTGGGCACAGGACATCGAGGATGCTGACACGGAACGGCTCTGCCCACTGCCCAACAGCTCCCAGCCACGTCCCCGCATCCTCCTGCCCCCAGGTGAGCTCCTGCCGTGGGGCTGCTGCCAGCCCGAGCTGTCCCAGTGCTTCCATCACTCAGCATCCCCATCCACTCACCGACGTGTCCATGGTTTGTGTCCCCGCAGCCTCGGGTGCCCCGTGCCAGCGGGTGCTGCTGCCGCCCAACGCCGTGCGGCCGCTGCCGTGCCAGCTGCTCTCCAACCTGGCCTCGCGGCGGTGGCTGCACCACGGGGCTCCCGTCAACGCCTCCTACCTGGTGCTGCCCGACGGGGCCCTCATCCTGGTGGGCAGCCCCGAGCGCGCCGGCACCTACGAGTGCTGGTCGCTGGAGGAGGGATTCCGCAAGCTCATGGCCAGCTACTGCGTGAGCGTGCAGGAGCTGCCCCGCGCGCCACCAGACCCCGCCAGGAAGGCGGCCACCGGCCGGGACGCCCTGGAGACCGTCAGCACGTCGCGCAGCACGTCGGCTGTGGGCAGCGCCGCGGCACGGCTGGACGGCAAGACCTACTGGACCGAGTTCCTGGTGATGTGCGTGCTCTTCGCCGCCGCCGTCCTCGTGCTGGCCCTCTTCCTCCTGCACCGGCACCGTGACGGCATGAAAGCGCTGCTGGAGCCCGGCGACCCCGGCCGGCACCAGAAGCCGCCCCGCAAGCCGGTGGAGAGCCTGCCCCTGAACGGCAGCAGCCTGCCCAGCGCAGCGCCCGAGCACAAGGGCTACCAGGCCCTGCAGGACAACTACATCGTGAGCACCCCCGTGCACGAGCCCCCCGGCCCCCAACGCGCCTTCTCCGAGTCGGAGAAGAGGCCCCTCCACGTCCGGGACAGCTTTGTGGAGGTGTCTCCCGCCTGCCAAAGACCCCGGGTGCGCCTGGGCTCCGAGATCCAGGACTCGGTGGTGTGACGGGACAGGAGCCAGGCCCGAGCCCGACACCACCTCTGCTCTGCTGAGCCGTGCGGACCGCAGCCGGGTCCGTGTTGTCTGTGTGTGCATGCCCGGAGCCCGGCCCCGCTCCAGTGCGGGGCTCGGCTGCCCCGGAGCTCCCGGGCATCACCTTTGCTGCTCCGGCTCCGGGAGCGAGGGGCACCACGTGCCTTCTGGGGGCCTGCGGGCCGTTCCCCCCAGCGGGGATGGACACGGTGCCTCGCCCTGGCTCTGTGGAGCCCCTCTATGCAGAGGGCAGGAGGGGCAGCTGCAGCCCCTCGCGCCCCGACTCACTGTGATGCGCCGGCGCAGGACCGGCGCCAGGTGCGCGGCCGGGCATGTGCTGTGTGTCTGTGCTTGGTTTGTTTTTAATACGTTGGAAATGTGAATCGTGTCCGGGCAGGGGCTCCCCCCGCGCCCTCGTGCGTGTGCAGAAACGTCTGTGGTTTTTATATAAAGTCCAGGTGTCTCCTTTGGACCGTGTGTGCTGCTGCGGCGGCACCAGCCCGGGGGGAAGCCGTGTCCAGCTCTCATTGTGGACGGGGGGAAGCCTGCCCTTGGCCGGCTGCTCCTCACCCCGACAGGGACGGACAGATGGACGGGACAGGAGGGATGCGCTGTAGCTCGGATCTGGTCTGCGAAGTTCCCGTGTGCTTGGCTGTGCGTTGGGCTGGGGCAGTCGAGGCTCTGCAGGGATGAGGCTGCGTGTCATTGCAGGGATGAGGCTGTGTGTCATTGCAGCGATGCTGCCAGGGCTGGTGCAGGAGGGTCCCTGTGACCCCGCTGTCGGGCGCTGTGCATCACAGCAATGCTCGGTTCTTCTGGGGCTGTGCTGTGGCGAGGAGGCTGTGGGAAGTCCGGTGGGACAGAGCTGCAGGGCGATGGGTGATGCTGTCCCAGCACAGCAAGAAGCGGAGGAAGGCTGAGGTGACTGAAGTGGGTGCTGCGGTGCTAGGAGTGGGGCAGCCTCTGGCAGGAGCATGGCTGTGGCAGCTCCTTACCCAGGACCAGGGTGTCCTTGTCCCTGGCCGCACAGCTGCAGGCAGACCCCAGCCGCGTTGCCACTGGGATTTGGCTCCATGAGGGCTGATGGCCGGGACTGGTGGTGCGGCACCACTCGTGAGCCCTCGCACGCCCTCGTGCCGGAGTAGCACAAGCACAGGGCCGGGGGGAGCAGCGTGTGGAGGCAGGAACCCCCCCAGGGCCGGCACTGCCCGCTCCCGGCTGGACCAGCGCACCCGGCTTCCTGCCCAGCCTGTTCTGGGACATCAAAAAAGCCACCGGAGGCATTGGCTGGTGCGGTGCCAGCAGACACGGCCCCCAGGGCTGCAGATACCATCAGCACCGCGGGCACTGAGCTGGAAGGGCCAGGAACAAGGAGCCGGCGCGTGAGAAACGGCTGCGCCAGTGCCGTGAGCCAGCCGTGAGCTGCGGCACCGGTGGGACAGAGCCGGACGCAGACAGCAGCTCCAGACCTGCAGCTCTGATCCAGCTCTGGGGCAGCAGCACCAGAGGGACGTGGAGCTGTTGGAGCGAGGCCGGAGGAGGCCACGAGATGCTGCGAGGGCTGGAGCAGCTCTGCTCTGGAGCCAGGCTGAGAGAGCTGGGCTGGGGCAGCCTGGAGAAGAGAAGGCTCCTGAAGGGGAGACCTGAGAGCAGCTCCAGTGCCTTAAGGGGGTACAGGGAAGGCCAGAGAAGCTGTGGCTGCCCCATCCCTGGCAGTGCTCAAGGCCAGGTTGGACACAGGGGCTTGGAGCAAGCTGCTCCAGTGGAAGGGGTCCCTGCCCATGGCAGGGGTTGGGAGCTTTAAGGGTTCTTCAGACCAAACTCCTCTGTGGCTCTATGAATCTTTGCTCCCGGGAAAGACAGGAGCATGACAGTGAACCGCTGGAAGCGCAGGCAGGGCCGTTGCTGTGGCTGGCAGCAGGCCAGGCCAAGCTGATGGATGAACAGACACAAAGGGCCCGGCGCTGCCCGCAGCAAAGGTGGCTGCTCGCCTGCCCTGGATTTCCCTTTGTGCCTCCTGCCGCAGAGCCCAGCTCTTTGTGCTGCTGAGAACAAGCCCTGGGCCTGCGGAGGGAGGTGTCCTGCGGAAAGGGCTGTCACCAGGCAGGACGTGGGACCTGTCCCCTGGAGCTGGCGCGGGCAGAGGGGCCTGGCAGGAGGCTGTGTCCCCAGCACCCCACATGGCACCCGTCCCGCAGTGCTCCGGCGCAGCCCCCGCAGCCAGACAAAGGCAGCACAGAGCAGAGCCTGAAACCAGAGCCCTTTATTTGTGTCCTGCAGCACAGAGGGAGGAAGAGGCCGGGGCAGTGCGGCTGCTGAGCCAGAGGAGGGGCAGGGAAGGAAAGGGGAGCAGTGTGGTCAGTGCCAAGGGGTCGGGTGCCTTGTGCTCTGCTGCCAGGACAGCACATCCCCAGCGCCCCTTGGGTCACTGCTCAGAGCAGTGGTTATTGCTTGGAGAAACGACTCCGTGTGTGGGTTATTGCTTGAATGGCTCCATGTCCCTGGGCAGGGGCTTGGTGAGGGGAGGCAGCTCCCTGCTTGCTGCTGAAGGCACAAATTGGTACTGGGGGCAGAGAGGGGACCCCAGCCAGGAGCACCCCACCAGAGCTGCCCTTGGTTTGCGTAAGGAGTTAAAAAGCTACCCTGGGAGGGCAGAGGGGCTGCCGGGAAGGCAGCAGCTTCCAGAGCCACCTCTGAAAGGGAGCAGGAGGGTGTCCTGCCTAAGGCACTGTGCGGTGCTGCTGGTGAGCCAGGTGGGTGCTGCTGCTGGAAGAGGAAACATCAGAGAGCACGAGGAGCTGCAGGAGCAGGAGGAGCAGTTCTGCTGGAGAGCCACAGGGCGCTCACAGGATGATCTTGAAGGAGCTGCAAGAGACACGACAGGTTCTGCACCTCCTCCCTGGGGCACACGCAAGCGGTTTGTGAGCACCCAGTGCTGTGAGGCACAGCATTACCCTGCATGGGATGCGGCTCTGCTGTTATGGGAGACCTCTACAGGGTGGCCTTGTCCTGCAGCCACCGAGAGCTCTGCCCCAACGCCAGCACAGTGATGGGGGCAGGGGAATGCCCAGAACGAGCTGTGCTGCTGCAGCCACTGTACCTGGCGAAGTCCGGGGAGCGGGAGACGACGTGCTGGAACTCGGAGATGTTGATGGTGCCATCCTTGTCAATGTCAGACTCCTCCAGGATCTGAAAGGAGAGGGAAAGGCGAGCAGTGAGCTCTGTGCGGCTGGGACCATGCAGTGACTCATGCCCTGCCTCACAGTCCTCACGTTTTGGATGAGCTGCTCCATCTCTGCGCTGCTCAGCCGGGACTCCTCGCCCTGTCCTGTCAGACAGTTCACCAGCTTCTCCAGGTCCTTTCTGTCCAGAGTCCCATCGTCATCAAAGTCTTTAGGGAGAGGGAAGTTATGTTTTGTCACCGCCACAGCAACCCCAGAGAGCTGTGAGGAAAGGGCTGGGCAGCCCGAGGACACAAGAGGCTCCACACTGCACCTCTCTCCGTGCACAGCATCGCACCAAACCAGCAGCTCCAACAGGAGTTTCTAAAGCCCTCTGGGATTCATCCCTGCGGCCCCCAGCATGAAGTGTGTGGACCCCAGGACCCAGCATCCATCCCCAGCCTCACCAAAGATGCGGAAGGCGTAGTGGGATTTGATGTCTGAGGTCGCAGAGTCGCTGAAGGCGCTCAGCATATCGAGGAAGTCTTCAAAGGACATGCTGTCATCCCCGTCATCCGAGGTGGAGAACACATGGCAGATCCGGTGCTGGAAAGGGTTTGCCTGCAACACGGGAATGGCTCAGGGCAGGGCCGAGCTGGTTCCAGCGTGGCAGACACCGGTGCCAGCCCCAGTGTGCCTCCCCGGAGCAGCCCCGCGCCGCAGGGATCTGCAGGCTCCCCCATGGTGTGGCGGGATGAGGAAGCCGGGTGTTGGCACGGCAAGTGAACAGCTTCCCGGTGGCTGCTGGAGCAACACGTCCAGGGCAGCGCCCGGCACTGCGACGGGTAAACAGGGCCCTGCCCAAACCCGCCCAGCCCCAGGGCGCCGCAGCGCGTCCCGCTCGCTGCCTGCTCAGCACCGTACCCGCAGCTCCGGCAGCGTCAGGATGCGGCTCTTGGGAACGCGCGCGGAGCAGGCATTCTCCCTCTCCTCCTTTGGCAGCAGTTCACTGAACCTCTTGTAGGCACTTGAAGAGGCAAGAACAAGAGCGGCTCTGTGGCTGTAGGCAGCCCTCTGGGCACGGGCAGCGCGGGCAGCGGTTCCCAGCGCTGCACAGCGGCTGAGAGCCCGTTTCCCACAGCCCCTGCCAGCGGTGCAGAGCGGGATGTGCTGGAGCCGGCCAGGGTGATCCTGCAGCAGCCACGGCTCCAGCCGGGCTCCTGGCACCGCAGCGGCCGGCCCTCGTGCCTGCCCACCCGGGACTTCAGGAGGGAAGAGCGAACTCCGCCAGGCCCCGGCCAGCGCCCCCGCTCTGCGGGGTGGCACCAGCCAGACCTTTGCCCCACGAAGCCGGGCTGGGGAGGGAAGGCCCAGCCGGGGCCCGGCTCCCGCGGGGCGTCGAGCGGCCGCTCGTCGGGAGGGCACCCCAGGGCAGACACAAGCCCCCCGGTCCCGCTCAGTTACTCACAGCAGGATCTCCTGCTTGCTCAGGAACGTCAGCTCCTGCGGGGAGAGCGGGGGTCAGCGCTGGGCCGGGGGGGCTCGGCCCCGGGGCTCCGTCCGCCCGGGCAGAGCCGGTGCCCGTACCTGGTACTCGCCCAGCGCCTCCCGCGGCAGCAGGCTGGCGGAGCCCCCCATGGCGGCCCCGGCCGCTTCCGCCGCGCACGCCAGGCTGCCGCTCCCACGGCATCAACCCCGCCCCAATGCACCCCAAAGCCCCGCCCCGCGCACCGGCCGCGATGGCGGCGGAGGGCGAGGAGTCGGGCTCCGGGGAACCGGAGCTCGAGGAGTTCGTGTACGGGGAGGAGGACTTCGTGCAGCAGGCAGCCGGGTGGGAGCCCGAGCCCGAGCCCGACTCCGCGCTGTCCCGCTTCGACCGGGCACTGCTGGACAGCTGGACCGACAGGATGGAGCGCGGCTTCTTCCGGTACCGGCTGGGGCCGCTGCCCACCCGTGTCCTGCCCGGCCCCATGCGCCTCGTGGCCCAGCTCAACGTCCAGCGGAGCACGGAGCGCCGCCCGCCGCAGCTGGTGCACAGCCTCCGGCAGCCCTTCGACCCCTGCGCCTTCAACTTCACGCGGCTGCGGCGCGCCGAGGTGCTGCTCCGGCTGCGCGGGGCCGGCGCGGCCGCCCCCGACCCGCTGCTGGTGGCCATCAACGCCAGCCCGCTGGAGCGCGGCCACGTCCTGCTGCTGCCGGACCCGGCGCGGCGGCTGCCGCAGGCGCTCACGGCGCCCGCGCTGCGCGGGGCTCTGGAGGCCGCGTTCCTCAGCGCGCACCCGGGGTTCCGCGTGGGCTTCAACGGCCTCGGCGGCCGCGCCTCCGTGAACCACCTGCACCTCCACGGCTTCTACCTGCCCCGGCCGCTGCTGGTGGAGGCGGCGCCGGCCCAGCCGCTCTGCCGCGGCCTCAGCATCCTGCGCGCCGTCCCCGCGCCCGCCTTCCTCTGGTACGCGGCGGGCCCCGCGGCGCTGCCGGCGCTGTGCCAGGACGTGTGCCGGGCCGCGGAGCACCTGCTGGGCGCGGGCCTGGCCTACAACGTCTTCGCGACGCGGGGCGAGGCGCCGGAGGGCGGCGGGGCCGGGCGCGGGCTGCGGGTGCTGCTGTGGGCGCGGCGGCCCAGCTTCGGGAGCGCGGCGGGCGCGGGCCTGGAGGTGGCGCTGTGCGAGCTGGCGGGGTTCCTGCCGCTGCCGGCCGCGCCGCTCTTCCAGCGCATCACCGAGCGGGAGGCGCTGGGCGCCATCCGCGAGCACCTGCTCCCGGAGCCCGAGCTGCTGCGCCTCGGCGGGGACCTGGCGCGGCTCCTGCAGCGCTGAACCGGCACCGGCGGAGGACTGCGCGCAACGGCCGCGGGGGCGCTCTCCATGGTCCAGGGGGGGGGAGCCGCCCGGTGGGAGCGGCGCTATCGCCATGGCAACGGGGCGGCCGCCGGCAGAGGGCGCGATGGAGACCGGCGGCGGGGGGCAGAGCGCGGCCGCCGGCAGCCCCGGCCCCGAGCAGCGGAGGAGGCGGAGGAAGCGCAGGCGAGTGCGGGCCCGCTCCTTGCGCCCGCTCCTTGTCCTTGGGCCCGCTCCTTGGGCCCCCTCCTTGTCCTTGGGCCCGCTCCTTGCGCCCGCTCCTTGGGCCCCCTCCTTGTCCTTGGGCCCGCTCCTTGGGCCCGGCTGTGTCCGCCGTTACCGCGGGGCGGTTCTGCCCCGGACCCCCGCCCTCCCGAGCGCACCCCCCGGGGCCGCCTTCCGAACCGCAATAAACGCTCTTCCCCTGAAGCTGTCCCGGTAATCCCGACCCTCCCGCGCCCAGGGCTGCCCCGTGGTTGGGGCCCTCCTTGCCGCGCTGGCTCCGGGTCACGTTTCCCGTTATCCCGGGCTGTGTGTGTGTGATGTGTGAACGTCCCTCCCGCTGTGCCCGGGACGGGGCCGCGGGTCCTCACTGAGCTCTTTGTGGTCTCTCGATTGCAGTGCTCCATCCATCAACCTGACCACCTGCAGGTACGAGAGCGGTAAGTCCGAGGCGCCGCAGGATGTCCCGTGGGTGCCACCGACAGCGAGGGAGAAGGGCTGGTGCCGAGTCCCCTCCCCGTGCTCGCTTTGGTTTTTACATCCATCGGTTGCAAGTGGCCTGGACCCGTGTGAGGTGTGGGGTGTTGCGCCCCCTGCACCGAGGTGCCCTGCTTTGGCATTAAATCTGATAGAATTGGGGGCAAGGAGCTGTGGAATCACAGAATCCCAGGTTGAAGGGACCTCGAGGTCCTCTCCTTTCCAGGCTGGACCAGGCACAGCATGACCTAGACTGGATGTCCCAGCACCCTGTCCCGACAAACCTTAACTGTCCAATGCTGGGCAGCCACCACTTCCCTCGGGACATAAGTCCAGTGACAAGGGTTTAGTTAGGAGCAGTTGCAATGCAAGACTAGCACCTGCGCACCTGTTAAACATAAAGGCAGTGATGACAGAACATGCAGGATTGGTTCCTGGAGCTTTTCCCTGTGCTGTCTGCTTCCAGTGATGTTCCAAGGAGCTGGTCCCCTCCTGCCCTGCTCCTCTTCATTGCCACAAGCACTCTCTTAACATCCATCAAATGCCAGGAGCCTGTTATTAGCCAGTTTGCTAATGGCTGTTCTCGCTATGTGACCACGCTGTTGAAGGTCACAGCATGAGGAACATGGGGTTTAGGCAGCGGGATGGGCGCTGCACGTTTCACCCAGGGCCGTGCTGGGGCAGTTTGGTGGTGGGAGGCAGATGGGACCCACGGCAGGAGGTGGTTGGCAAGGAGCAGAACCATTTCACAACTGTTCCTGGCATGCAGTGACCTTCATCAACTCCCCAGCCCTGCGAGAGGCCCGGTTCAGAACTGGTGCTGACACAGACCTGCTGCAGGGCTTGTGCGTTCCGCTGCTGGGTTGCTTTTGATTTCAAAGAGCAGACTCGTACCTTCAGGAGGCTCGCGTCTGCCTGCGTGGTGTCAGGCCCAGGGCGTATTCAAGCCTGCTTCTAGTTCAGGAGGGACCCTGAGCATGTGGGCTTAGAGGGCTGATGGCTCCCAGCACAGCCGCAGCCAGGGGCTGAGGTGGGTTTAGGCAGGTAACACTTGTGTTCAGGCCACCTGCCGCTGGTCCCACTGGTGCCCTGCATCTCAGAGGGGAGCTGCAGCTGCAGAGCTTGGTTCCATGCTCCAGCCCTGGTTCCCGTGGGGATTTAACAGACCCTGGTACTTAGGTGCCCTGCTTGGCCCTTGTCACCTGCTTGCTTTGGCACAGTGCGGCGGGCAGCGCAGTGCTGCGGGCTGAGAGAGGTGGGAGAGGACGAGGAGTGGACGGTGTATTGGACAGACAACTCGGTCTCCTTGGAGCGTGTCATGGAAATGAAGCGCTTTCAGGTAACTGCCCCCGTGGAACGGCAGGAATTGCCCAGGAACCAGGGTGAGATGGGGCTCTTAACAGAACAGTGCCCACAACAGTACCTGGGCCCCCTTCTCCACAGCAGTTCTGGAGGTTCACAAGCCTTTACTGCGCTTGTGCCTCTGGTATACGGTGCCATCAGCAGCGCTCTCAGTTAGTGGTGTGAACTGGAAAGCTGCCAGCCCCTTTAATGTAGCATGAAATAAATGGTTATGATGACAAATGGCTCCTTCCTGAAGCTGTGATGTTCGAGGGCGGGAGAGCTTCAGGGCTGAGATGGAGGGAGCAGATAAATCACGCTGGTGAAGCTCAGATTAAGCAGCTGCCGTGTAACCTTCTCCCTCAGCAGCGGGTCAAGGCACCCGCAGGCCCGGCTCCTTGTGCTGCCGTTGCTTCCTCCACACAGCGGCTTTCCTCAGCCTCCAGGAGGGTCCCTGCTCTTCCTGTGCTGATCCTGGGTTTTGTCTGCGCCTCTTCCAGAAAATCAACCACTTCCCAGGCATGATCGAGATCTGCCGCAAGGACTTGCTGGCTCGGAACCTCAACCGCATGCTCAAGCTCTTCCCTAAGGAGTACAAGATATTCCCCCGCACTTGGTGCCTGCCAGCAGAGTGAGTGATGCACCATAGTGCAGCTGAGAGCAGGGGCATGGAACTGGGAGGTGGGAACCTCCCTCTTTACTGTGCAGCAGGGGCTGGGATGGGGGCTCACCGAGCTCTCACCTCTTGGTCCAGGCATTCATGATCTTCCCTGGCACTCAAGGGGATGTGGAGGCACGTTTCTCGTTTGGCACCTCTTTAATTCCTATTGGAATTAGCCCAGGAAGGGCACAGGACAGGGCATGAGGCGCTTCCACCCCTCTGGCAGCGATGACCATCTTCACAGCCCCTGCAGCCCCACCACCCACTGCAGTAGTGGGGATAGGGGAGAGGGCTGATGCTGATACCGAATCACTGGGCTTTGGGGCAGAGGCTGGGCTTCTCTGGCCATGTAGAGGCAAGCAATGACAGAGCTGTAGCTGAAAGAGACCAGAGAGCACTCCAGTTCTGGTGGCTGTGAGGAGACGAGGCTCCCGTTCTTAGGTTTCATTCCGACCATTCCTCGAGGCGGGGCTCCCAGCACCTCTCTGCAGCTGAACTCTCCTCATGGGGAGAGTAATTTCGGTACTGGCCCTAAAGCACCTTTGTTGAAATATCAGCTTTGGAGAGCAGTGTTTGGCTGCGCTGTGCTAGTGGTGTGTGGTGCGCAGGAAGGCTCTTGCTGTGTCCTCTCAGTCTGCCCATGTCTGGAGAAGACAAACCGAGTTCTCTCGTCTTTCCAGGCTGCGTTTCCTGGCCTCGGACTGCTCTCTGCACTGTCTGGGGGTTTGCCCTGTTCATCTCTCTCTTTCCCCAGTCGTGGTGCCCACCAGAGAGATGGTGCTTCTCCACCTACAGCAGAAGAGCCAATTCACCTATGGGCTCGACCCCTCAAAGCCCCGTGCTCCCGCTGGAGCTGCTTTGAAGATGAGCCACATAACGAGGGTGCGCCCAGCTCTGGTTAGGGCATTATGGCCCCCTCTGTGCCAGCGGAGCTAAAATCTTCCTGGCTCCTGCTTGCGCAGAGGCCACCGCTTCCTCCGAGCCTCCCAGCAGAGGGGGAGATGCGCACAAGTAACCCGTGTCAGGTCACGTAGGGAGCGACTCCTGCGGGCCAGGTATGGGTGCGCTATGCCTCTGCTGCCGGAGCTGGCCCTGTACCAGCCCACAGCACCGCAGTTTGAGCACCCAGCTGTACCAGGGTCCAGAGGCTGGGGGCCGCGGGCTGTCACAGCCACCCCTTCCTTGCACAGCTACGGAGACTTCCGGGCCTACGGAGGCACGAGGAGAAAGCGAGCGTTCATCTGCAAGCCAGACAGCGGCTGCCAAGGGAAGGGGATCTTCGTCACCCATAACCCCGAGGACATCCAGCACGGGGAGCACATGATCTGTCAGCAGTACATCTCCAAGGTAACGGCACCGTCTCGGAATGCAGCCTCCCAAGCTCTTCCCGCATCCCACATCCTCCCTGTGTCCCCTGCCCTCCCTTATCCCTGTTTCTGCCCGAGCAGAGGCACAGGGAAAGCTGGCACTGGCCCTCCTCCTGCTGCCGAGGAGCAGCCAGCTTGGCAGCACTGCTTCACCCACGCCTGCTCCTGCTCCTTTCCCCTCGCAGCCTTTCCTCATTGATGGCTTTAAATTTGACATGCGCCTCTACGTGCTGGTCACGTCCTGTGACCCGCTGCGGGTCTTTGTCTACAAGGAGGGGCTGGTCCGGTTTGCCACCGTGAAGTACATCGATCCCAGCAGCGGGAAACCGGTAAAAAAGGGAGGTTTCCAAGGAACTCACACAGCGTCTGTAAGTGCTGGTACCCACTGTGTCCTAGGGGCATTGTGGAACGGGGGGGGCGTTCCATGGGATCCAGCTTTCTTCTTCGCTGTTCTCCCCACCCTGTACCTCCTCCTCCTCCTCACAGGAGGTACTTCAGGTGACTGAAGCAGATCTGCTCCAGGCCCCATGTCTGGGCTGTTTCCTGGCATTATCACAGAATCAAGGAGTTGTTTTGCTTGGAAGGAACCTTGGAAGGTCTCAAGTCCAAACCTCCTGCTCAAAACTGGGTCAACAATCAATCCACCTCTGGTTTCTTGGGGGTTCACCCCACCAGGGGTTGGAAACCCACAAGGACAAAAGGTCCCATGGAGTCTGGGCAACACTCCTACTGCCTCTTGCCTTTATGGGCATCCTCGAGCCTGCACCATTCCCCATCTGCCTGGGCTCTGGGTGCAAAACAGGGGCCTGGGGATTATCTGGAACAGCCTAGGAGAGAGCGGAGGGGAACTGGCACAGCAAGGTGCAGGCTGCGGCCATGCCCGCCTCCACGCAGGGGTGTGTAACCTATAAAATCCCACCAGGAGGTGGCCTGTGGTGTTGGATTGCTGTGCGTGGTCACAGGCTGCCTGTCCACTTGCCCCAGAGCTGCACATGCCCACGCTCCCTCGCCCTGGTACCTGCACATCTTGGCAGCCTTTTGCTCTGGGGCAACAAAGAACCTGCAGGGATGTGCTGCAGCTTCTGCCCCAAGAGTCCCTGGTCACCAGTGGGGCCGTGGCTGCGATGGCACCTGTGGGGCTGAGGGGGCAGAGCTCTCTTGGCTCTGACTCCTGCCAGGGAGGGCATCACCACACGGAGCGGAGCTGGTGAAGTGGGGCTCGGTGAGTGCCTCCGGGCTGTTGCTACTGATGTGCTGTGGTTCTCTCGCGGTTCCTCTCCCAGGATGATATCTGCATGCACTTGACCAATTATGCTATCAACAAGCGTAACGAGAACTTCGTCCAGCATGACACCATGGGCAGTAAGAGGTATTGGCCTCCTGCCACATCCTGCAGGAAAGCTGCATCTGGGTCACTGCTTTACCTCCGTCTGCCTTGGGGCAAACGTGGTACCACAGGTCAGCTCTTACCATCTCCTGTCCTCCACAGGAAACTGTCCACCCTGAAAGCCTGGATGACGGAAAACAGCTACAACACAACAAAGCTCTGGGAAGACGTTGAAGATATTATTATAAAGACTCTTATTTCAGCTCACCCTGTTTTGAAGCACAATTACCAAAGCTGCTTCCCAAAGCACACCTCTGGCTCTGCCTGCTTTGAGATACTGGGGTTTGATATTTTGCTGGACAGAAAGTTGAAGCCGTGGCTGCTGGAGGTGAGCAGGAGCCTCTGCTGAGGGAGCTGGGCTGGGGCGGGGGGGGATGAATGGGATTAGTCTGATTAAAAAGGGCCACCTCATTCACAAAACCAAACAGGCTACGAAGGCCAGTAGCCAAGAAACTGCTGTGAGCTAAGTGGAATCTAAGAGCCCATTCCCTGGATACCCTCTCTCACAGCAGGGAGTTTCCTGGACTTCGGGACTCCTTGACCTGTAGCAGCATCCTGAATTTACACCCATGTAGCACCCCGAATGTAGTCCCATGGGGGGTGGGATCTGAACAGCCGGCAGTGCAGATGGCAGCTCTGTCAGTGTCACACGGAAGAACACCCATGGGAAGCGTGTGGGGAGGCTGGTTGGAGCCAGGAGCTGCCAGGTGAGATGAGCTGCTTGCTTTGGCAGGTGAACCATTCCCCCAGCTTCAGCACGGACTCTCGCCTGGACCGAGAGGTGAAGGATGCTCTTCTCTGTGACACCATCAACTTGATAAATGTGAATGCCTGTAACAAAAGGAAGGTGTTGGAGGAAGACAAGCAGCGGGTAAAGGAACGGCTCCTCCAGTCTCATCAGACTTCCCGTGCATCCAGGTATTGCTCTTCCCCATGGTGCTGCAGGGCCCTGGTGAGAAAAGATGGGCCATGGCAGAGCAGGATGAAACTAAGGCTGGCTGCCTCCAAGTTAAAGCTCCCAAAGCCCATGGCACTGTATAGACTCTCAGATCTCCCAAGCCCTCTGCACCCAGCAAAGAAGAGCCAGGGCTTCTCTCCAGGTGCTAGATCAGAGACACCGAGTGCTCTGGGCACTGTACAGGGTCATCCCCAGTGCTTGGCCCATCTTTCAGTGCCAATGGGCAGTGCTGGTATCCCCTGTGATGCTCGCAGCACAGATCACATCACTGCCTGAGGGACCAAGAGCACAGGGGGGCATGGGGCCCTTCCCCAGGCAGGGCTCCTTCCCCAGGGCCGAGGGTTTCCCCCCTGTTCTCTGTCTGTGTGCCCTTTCACGAGGCTGTGGTACAGGAACCCACTGCCCGGGCTCCTCCTGCCATGCAGAGCTCTTGTCACTGGGTTGGTGGGTGAAGAGACTGAGGGGCAGGGGGGAAGCCTGGGCAGCAGGGGAGAGGGCAGGAAGCGCTCCCTGGGCAGAGGATGGCAGGGAGCGGGCTCTGCTGGTCCCCTGCACCTGAAAAGGGCTCCCAAGCGGGCGAAGATGCTCGCGCGGGCCCGGGCCCGCAGGCAGTGAGTGCCCGGGCGGTGCCGTGTCCCTTGGCAGGCGTGAGGAGCTGCAGAGCAGCCAGGAGGCCTGGCTGTGCCAGGCGCAGCTGTACGAGGACGCGCACCTCGGCGGGTACCGGCGCATCTACCCGGCCCACGGCACCGAGCGCTACGAGCGCTTCTTCAAGCACAGCGGCTCCCTCTTCCGGGAAACAGCCGCATCCAAAGCACGGGAGGAGTGTGCCAGGTACGCCCTCACGGCTCGCACAGAGCCCGCCTGCTCCCCTTCCCATCCTAGGAGCAGCTCTGCTGCTTCACAGATGTGAGCGCGCTGGTGAGAGCTGGAGGCGAGGACCCTGCGTGGGCTGTGTCACCGCAGCAGAGACTTCCCTTGAGAGGCAAATGCAGTATTCCGTTGACTTCTGGGCTCTGGAGGCACCGTGTCGTGAGGGTCCTTCACCTTTCCGGGGGGCACAACCCAGTTCAAGGGCATTTCCTACAGAAGTGAGCATCTCCCGGCCCATTTCTTGGCACCTATGACAGCCTGTCCACTACAGAACTCCTGACTGCAGGAAAATGTCCCGGATTGAAGGCTTCATAAGAACCTCTTGCTGTTGTGGCTCTTACTGAACCACTGAGATTACTGACTCTGACTCTGACTCTTCTCTGGCAGGCAGCAACTGGAGGAAATTCGCCTGAAAAAGGAGAAGTTTGAAGCTGCCATCATGAAGAAGAAAGCGGAGAGGAAGGAAGAGCTGCACGGAGAGTCAGGAGGGGACAAACCCCGGACCAGCACTACCAGCACAGCTCCTTCAGCCCGCCTCACCTCCAGAAGCAGCAGGATATGGGATAGGAAGGTACCTTCCTCTTGTGGTGGTCTGTGGGGCTCCCAAAGGCAGTGATGTGGCACTGGGAACAGTGTGGGTCCGTGGGTGTCTCCCATGGAGCAGAAGCACAAGGTCCTCTTCACGCAGCACCAAGAGGTGACAGCTTGTGCTGGGAGGCAGCTGCTGCAGTGGCTCCCACTGGGATTTTCATCCCACCTCGCCCCAAGTCTGTAGCTCTCCTTAGGGCTCAGAGCACCTCATGCCTTTGTCTCTGCTGCGCATCGCTTTGTCTTTGCTGTAACTCAGTTCTTCCCCTCCCAAGGCACAGCACACGCAGGTCGACTCCACGCAACCCCAGGATATTGTGGCAAATGAGGAGAAGAAAAGAATAAATGCTCTGCTGCAGCGTGAGAACCTTATCCGAAGCCTGGGCATCATAGACCAGCTCTCCCGCCTGCAACCTGCACCCCAGCCACCAGCTGACATGCAGAGGTCCCTCCCTGCTGACTGCAAGAGCCAGGTAACTGAAGAGCACCCAGACCCCTCCTGCGTGGCCAGCGCAGGAGACAGCCATTCCCAGGAGGATGGCGAGGATGGATCGCAGGCATTGAGCATCCCTGGCTCAGTCAGATGAGATCCAACACAGTGTATGGGTACACAGGGTTTTGTGCAGTTACTGACTTTGTCCCTTTCCAAATGGGTATGCTAGGGGTGTTCCCCTCACTGCTGAGAGTTCCTGGGTGCTCCTTCCCAGAAAATTCTGATGTTCCAATGAACAGACCACAACAATACTGCCTTTTGGACACTGCTGTGCCCAGCACACAGCTAAGTGTGAGGGATGTGGAGCTGCTGGAGCGAATCCAGAGGAGGCCGCATTGCTGCTGCGAGGGCTGGAGCAGCTCTGCTCTGGAGCCAGGCTGAGAGAGCTGGGCTGGGGCAGCCTGGAGAAGGTTCCTGAAGGGGAGACCTGAGAGCAGCTCCAGTGCCTGAAGGGGCTGCAGGGAACCTGGAGAGGGGCTTGGGACAAGGGATGTAGGGACAGGCCAAGGGGAATGGCTTTAACCTGCCAGAGGGGAGACCGAGTTGAGCTCTTAGGCAGAAGCTCTTCCCTGTGAGGGTGCTGAGGCGCTGGCACAGGGTGCCCAGAGAAGCTGTGGCTGCCCCATCCCTGGCAGTGCTCAAGGCCAGGTTGGACACAGGGGCTTGGAGCAAGCTGCTCCAGTGGAAGGGGTCCCTGCCCGTGACAGGGGTTGGAACTGGATGAGCTTTAAGGTTCCTCCCAACTCAAACCAGGCTGGGATTCTAAAGGAGATCTGCACAGCTGTCTCATAGTGAGTCTTGGCTATCACACCATTCCCAAACCAGGCTGCCAGTCTGAAACCTGAGCAGGAGAAAGCCCCAAACCCACAGGTTGTCTGTGGGCTCCATCAGGCTCCAGGGGCTGTTCTGGGCACTGATTGTGAGTGTCACCTGCTGAGTTGGGAAGGCCTGGTTCTGGACCTGCAACTAATGGAAAACCTTGCACAGTCCATTACCCCTTCCAGCAGTGCCATCTGCTTCCAGCAAGGCCACCCCCTCCTCCTGGCTGGAAGGGTGGCTCTCGGGAGCACCAGAGCTGCAGGAATTACTCAGAACCTAGAAGTCTTCCAGTTTCTTCCAGGAGATTGGGAATAATTCATTTACTTTACAAAAGAAGCCTAAAATGGGATTTGATCTGTACAAACTGGGGCAGCTGCATTTCCTACACCAGATGGAGCAGAACGGAACCTGAAACCCAGACGCTGCTGGGTATTTTTTTGCAGAGAAGGGTTATCTGGGGGTGGGCCAGATCCTTCATCCCGACTCTTCCCAGCCTGCTCCTGCTCCAGCTCGGCCCAGTCAAGGGCCGGGAGCCTCGGCGCTGCTGCAGGTAGGATTTGAGTCTGGGATGGTGACGGTGACGGTGACGTGCCTGGAGCAGCACCCGGAGCACTGCTTTGGTGAGTGCCTGTGGGTGACCAGAGCAGACGTTTCCTTCCCGTCTCTCCGGAGTAAGGGTGGCTGCTTTCCTTCCTTCCAGCCGCAGTGCCACCGGGATGCACCCGGGGGCTTCACGACGCCCGTCCCCTTCTCTCTCCTGAGACACCCACTCCGGCCTTTGGGACAGCAGCACATGTACAACCCCAGGGCTGAGGTGCAGCTGCCGCCCAGCCTGGGCTCGGGCTCTGCACCCGTGCTCTTGATTCAAGGCAAGAGGATCCCCTACACGGCACGGCAGAGCCTCCGGTCACCAAACAGGGGCTGGCTGCAGGGCTGGGCAGCATCGGCGGCAGCCATCACCCGGCCCGGCACCGAGCCCGAGGGGCAGCAGGAGCGAGGCCAGCAGCTCCCTGCTGCTGGAAGCAAGGCTGAAGGCTGTGAGTACACATTACCTTCCTCCAGCTCTGCGTGTCTGCACCGCGGAGGCTCCAGAGAGTGCGCTGGAGCCAAGGGCAGGTGCTGTGGATGCTCCTCTGCTTGCCAGGGTGGGCTCAGACCCTGCAAGGGGACACTAAACTCTTCTCTGGGAACTGGTGACCACCCGAGTCCCTGCCTGCAGCTGGCACCATCCCACTTAGAGGGGCAGGGAAGCAAGTGGTGGTTTCTCAGGACCAGCAGTTTATGTGTTGGGATGGGGGAGCATGAGAAGATCCCACCTTCCCCCAGCCCTGCACAGCTCTGCCCAGCGGCTGGGCTGCTCTGCACCAGGGCCAAGCACCATGAGGCGTGCAGGGGGCTGCTGACCCCCAGAGCCACCTGCCTGCACCCCAGCTCTGCCTGTGCTCTTCCAGGTGAAGCTGGCCGGCTGTCCCTCAGCGCTGGCGGCTGGCACCCGGGTTCGCCGGCCAGCACCGGCCGGGACACACGCAACGGCACCCTCGGCCGTGCTGCCACCCCGGAGCTGCCCATCTCCCCAGCCTCGCCCCGCGCCGGACCCTCGCCCGTTCGCAGAGTGAGACGCACAGGTAACGGGGCAGAGTGGACCCGCGCTCGGCTTCCGCGCCGCGGGGTTACCGCGGCTGCCGGACGGGGATGGCTGCCTCCCCTCCTCGGCTGGAGCCTGGGCCCCGGGTCGGGTCCCGCCGCACGGCCCGGGCAGCACCGACACCCCCTTGGCTTGCACCATGCGCGCACCCCTCAGGGGCTGCCCGGTGCCCGTGATCCCCGGCGCGGCCGTTCCGGGCATCCCGCCGGCCCCCGCTCCGCCCCCGGCGCAGCCCCGCCCGGTTCCCGTGCCATGGCGGCGCTCGTGCGGCGCGGGTTGAGAGCGGCCGCGCTGCTCATCGGGACCCCGCGGCGGGCGGCGGCGGCGTGGCGGGGGGCACCGGAGCCGCCGGACCCCGCGATGGAGGAGGCCGAGAGCTGCGGGGAGGCGGCACCGGGGCTGCGGGGCCGGGGCTCTCACGTCTCTCCTCTCAGGCCGCGGCGGCGGCGGCGGGAGCTGGGCAAGGAGCGCGGAGCCCCCGAGCGCACGCTGACCTGGTCGGCCATGGAGCAGATGCGGTGAGCGGAGGGGCCGGGCCCGGTGACCTTTCCCCGGTGACCGCCGCCCCGCTGACCGTGCTCGTGCCCGCAGGTTCCTGCGGCGGGAGCTGCCCGAGGAGTGGCCGCTGGAGCGTCTGGCCCGGGGCTTCGGTGTCAGCCCCGACGTGGTGCGGCGGGTGCTGCGGAGCCGGGCCTGCCCCCCGCCGCACCGCCGCCTGCGGCAGGACCGGAAGGCGCTGAACGCCGCACCCAGATCGGCACCGGGCCCGGAAACCGGCCGCGAGGTGCGCGCTCCCGACGGCTCGCTGCTGTACCGGGTGCCCTGGGGCGGGCCGGGGCCCGGCGAGCTGTGAGCGGCCGCGGGGGCACCGCCTCCCCCCGCGCCCGCTCCGCCTTGGCCATGGACTCCGACGCGGCGCGGCTGCTGGACGCGGCGGAATTCGCGGCCCAGAAGCACCGGGAGCAGCGGCGGAAGGACCCCGAGGGCACCCCTTTCATCAACCACCCCATCGGTGCGGAGGCCGCCCGGCACCCCCCTGCACGGGGCTCTCCCTCCGGCCCGACTCGGGCCCAGCAAAGCACCGGGGCCCGCTCCCGGCCGGGGCAGATCCCAAGTGGCCGAGCACGGGGTGGTTTTGGGGGTCTGCCCACGCTCTGCCACTGCCTTGTGCCCTTGCTCCCCGGTTCTCCCTTGTCCCTGTGACCCGTCCCTCCGGCCTCCACATCCCCGCCCCCCCGCGTTTTCCCCACAGCCCCCCTTGTCCTCACGGCCCCCTCTTCCATCCCTGCTTTGCCCCTACAGCTCCCCACTTGTTCCTACCGGTTCCTCCCCCCGTCCCTGGTTTCTCCCTCTGAGCCCCGGCCCCGCAGCCCCCCGCCTGCCCAGCCCAGGACTTTCCTGCTCACCCGCAGCCCACCCCCCTAACCCTAACCCGTTCGCTGCCCCACACTCCCCATCACCCTGCTCTGTCCCGCAGCCGTCGCTCGGATCCTGGCCTGCGAGGCCGGTGTGACCGACATCGAGCTGCTGCAGGTGATGCCCGGTTTCCCCTCCCGCGTTCCCCGCCGCGGGGTCGGCTCCATCCCGACCCGCCCGCCCCCCCCGCAGGCCGCTCTGCTCCACGACACGGTGGAGGACACGGACACCACGTTCGCGGAGCTGGAGGCGCGGTTCGGCGGCGCCGTGACGGGCCTGGTGCGGGAGGTGACGGACGACAAGGAGCTGCCGCGGGCCGAGCGCAAGCGGCTGCAGGTGGAGCGGGCCCCGGGCCGCAGCCCCCGCGCCAAGCTGCTGCAGCTGGCCGACAAGCTGCACAACCTGCGGGACATCGCCCGCTGCCCGCCGGCAGGTACGGGAGCACCGGGCCCGCTGCGGCGGGGGCTGCTCCGCTCCCTGCCAAGGGCCGGGCGGGTTCCCGGTGCAACCGGGCGGCTCCGAGCCCAGCGGGTGTGGGGGGGGGGGGGGGGGGGGTTTGAGAGAGATGGTGCCGGGGGAAGCGGGGGGGCCCGGGCCGGGCGGCGCTCAGCGCCCGGTGCCCCCGGTGCAGGCTCCGGCTCCCGGCGGGGCTCGTGACGCGGCTCGCGCGTGCCCCCGCAGGGTGGTCACCGGAGCGCGTGCAGGAGTACTTCCGGTGGGCGGCGCAGGTGGTGTCCGGCCTGCGAGGGACGAGCCCCGCGCTGGAGGCGGCGCTGGAGCGGCTCTGGGCGGAGCGCGCGGCGGGGGCGGGACCGGGACCGGAACCGGGACCGGGGGCCGAGGGCGGTGCGGGGAGCGACAGCCAATAAACGTGCACAGAGCCGATGTCCCGCCTCCTGCGTTGCCATGGCACAGCGCACTTCCGGAGCGGGGGTTCCGGCGGGGCCGCGGCCGCGGGTTGCCGTTCCGGTCCCGTCATGGCCTCCGCTGGCCGCCGAGACGCGCCCGAGGCGCCCGACTTCGGCATCCTGAAGCGGCTGGCGCGGGACCAGCTCATTTACCTGTTGGAGCAGGTCCGGGCCCGGGGGGGCGGCGGGGTCGGTGCGGTACCGGCGGGGGGCTCGGCGCTGGGAGCAGCCGGTGTGAGCCGCCTGCCCGCCTGCCCGCAGCTCCCCGGGAAGAAGGACCTGTTCATCGAGGCCGACCTGATGAGCCCCCTGGACCGCATCGCCAACGTCTCCATCCTCAAGGTACCGCGGGGCCCGGCGGGCAGATGCCCGTTGCCCGCGCTGCCCCCGGTGCCCGCTCACAGCCCGGCCTCTCCCTGCAGCAGCACGAGGTGGACAAGCTGTACAAGGTGGAGAGCCGGCCTGCCGCCGGCGCCAGCGACCAGTGAGTCCCTCACCGTGGCAGTGGGGCACAGGGGCTGGCAGGGCAGGAGGGGGGGCAGGCGCCTCATCGTGCTCTGGATCTGTCCCTGCTGGACCAGGTGGTCCCCGGGCAGAGCTGCTGAGGGTCCAGGGCACAAGGGGCCTCTCACTGCCTCTGCCATGGCAGGTTCTGCTTCCTCGTCCGGCCGCGGATCAGAACGATGCGGTACATCGCTGGTGAGTGCAGCGCCCAGGACACTTGTCCTGCGCCTGGGGTTTTAGTTCCTGCCCCAGGCACTTGGGGTGCTAAGGCCCTCACTGGGCAGGAGGAGCTGTGCCAGGGCAGGGGCCGAGCGGCCTTCACAGCCTCTGCGCGTTTCTCACCTGCAGATATTGTCAATGCCGACAAGATGTCAGGGAGGAGCAGGAAGTACAAAATCATCTTCAGCCCCCAAAAGGTCAGTGTGACCGTGCTCAGCTGCCCGTGACCCCATCACTCTGTCTGCCCGGCCTTTATGCCTTCCCCCCCTTCTATACACACCGAACGTCCTTCATTTGTAACCCAGAAACGTTCAATTAAACCAAGCAGCACGATACTTCCATCACCAGGATCCCTCCACCACCAGGGCTCTGCATGCTTGGAGCACGGCTGGGCCCTGAGGGTCTCGTTCTCTTCCAGTTTTATGCTTGTGAGATGGTGCTGGAGGAAGAAGGAGTCTTTGGTGGTGAGCGACGCTGCGGTGGCTGCCCCTTCCCCTCCCCACGGTAGCTCTGACCTGCAGAATTCCCGTTGAATCCCAGTGCGGGATCCCTGTGCTGGAATGGGAGCGTGGGCAGGAGCTGTGGTTCCCTCTGGCCTGGCTGCCTGCAGGCATGTGCCCACCGTGGCATCGGCACCAATGGGAGAAGAGAGGGTCCTGCCATAAATCTGGCAAAGCTCCTTCTCTGCTTCCCAGAACTCTGACAGGGCTCTCACTCGGGGCTGTCACCCAGGGCTGTGATGGATAACCATCGCCTTCCCCTGTCCCAAACCCAGATGTCACCTGTGACGAGTGGTCCTTCTACCTGCTCCCCCTGGACGAGGACATCATCAGCATGGAGCTACCCGAGTTCTTCCGTGACTACTTCTTGGTCAGTGCGGTGATGCTGCCAGGACGCAGCTCCCCCCTTGCTGTCTGTTGGGCTGGGGATGGGCAGCTCTGTTCAGAAAGCTGATGAGTGACATCCCGCTCGGTCCCGGGGTGGCTTTTGCTAGAGGTGGCTGCTCCGATGGGCTGTGATGCCCCTGCACACATGCCCTGTGCTGGCTCCTTGTCTGCTCCCTCTGAGCAGCTTTGGGGCATCCCAGCACATTTCTCCTGGAAGCCCAAGCCCGGGGCATGCTCTGTCCCCAGCCCTCTCCCAGCCGAGTCCCCCGATGCTTCTCTGGTTCCTCCCCACCAGCCTGCCCAGAGCTCTCGTGGTCCTGCAGGAGGGAGATCACCGCTGGATCAACTCCATCGCTCGAGCCCTGCAGTTGCTGAACTCCCTGTACGGCCCTTTCGGCAGGGTCTATGGGATCGGCAGATGTGCCAAGGTACAGCCACGCGTCAGGAAGCCTCCGGGCCCTTTAAGGGCACAGCTTAAACCCCATCAGCTGTGTGGCCTCCTCCCAGGCTGTGCTGGGACCTGCCCCGTTGGGAGGGGAACCCAGCTGTCCTTTGTGCCCTGGCCAGCACCGAGGTTGGGCAGGGGGAGCCTCAGCAGCATCTGCTGCTCTTTGGGGTGCTGCAGAGCCCCCTGTGCCTGCTGCAGCTGGGGGCCCTGTGGGATGCCACGTCCTGGGTGGCCCACGTGAGGGCCTGGGGCTGGGGCAGGCTGATGGGAGCCTGCGCCTGCTCCTGGGTGCTGCCACGCTCTGCCCCTTGCAGATGAGCTACGAGCTGTGGTGGGACCTGGAGGGGGAGAGCGAGGGCGATGGCCAGGGCAGGAAGCCTGAGATTGGCAACGTCTTCCTCATGGACAGAGGTGGGCTGGAGCACGGCAGGCAGCAGGCCATGGGAAGCAGCATGGGCTGGCAACGTGCCCGGAGGGGCAGGAGAAGCTGTGGGGTGGATGTGGGGTGCAGGAGGTGCTGTGGGGTGCAGCTGGGCACTGGCTCTCATTGCAGACACTGACTACGTGACGGCGCTATGCTCCCAGGTGGTGTATGAGGGGCTGGTGGACGACACATTCCGCATCAAGTGTGGTAGGTGGCCGGGAGGGCGATGGGGCTCTGCAGCCACGTAGGTAGTGGAGTCCCCGGGGTTCATGCTGGTACCACACACCTGACACCAAGTTGCGGCCAAGGCTGTTCCCTGCAGGCAGATCTGGTGCTGCTGGAGGCTGTCCATAGCCTGACCAAGCTGCGGGCAGGCAGCTGCTCTCTGCTGCATGCTGCAACAGGGCCAGCATGCATGGCCATGTCTGTTGCTGGCGCAAAGCAGCTCTTCATCCTCCTCTGCAGGGAGCGTGGATTTTGGACCAGACGTCACCTCTTCTGACAAGAGCATTAAGGTGCTGCTCAATGCCCAGGACAAGGTGAGCATTTGGCCTTTATGTGCCTCAAGGGAAGCAGGTTCCCCCTGCTCAGCCTGACCTGGGAGCAGCTGGGTGCTGCTGGGCCTTGGAGCCCAGCATGGGATGGCTCAGGGTAAAGAGGCCAGAGAAGCATGCTCTGCAGGTCCCGCTGGGCTCCTGTCGCCAGCAGAGTCCCTGCGGGCCGGGCAGTCGGTGCTGCGGACATTGGCCGTCCCGGTGGGGACTCCACGTTGTCTCGCTGCTGCACCCACTGGCTCTGGGCACGGGCGGCTGTGGGTGCCTGGAGCACAGGACACGTGCCCAGCACTCGCTGTGTGTTCTCTGCAGGTCTTCAGCCAGATTCGCAACGAGCACTTCTCCAGCGTGTTCGGGTTCCTGAGCCAGAAGTCCCGTAACCTGCAGGCACAGTACGATGTGAGCATCACCCGGGTGTGGGCACCCGCAGGGTCCCTCCGCACCGCGTCACCACCACCGCGCTCTGCCTCCCGCAGCGGCGCCGCGGCATGGACATCAAGCAGATGAAGAACTTCGTGTCCCAGGAGCTGAAGGGACTGAAGCAAGAGCATCGCCTGCTGAGCCTGCGTAGGAGCTGGGGCTGGGCACTGGGGAGAGTGGGGGCCCGAAGGGCTCTGTGAGTCCCCAGAAGGGCAGAGGATCTGCGCTGTGGGCAGGGGAGTGGAGGCCATTGGTGCAGGCGTCTGTAGTGGGGGGACGAGCTCTGTGCAGAGCCTGTTACTCCAAATACCCATCTCTGGCTCTGCAGATATTGGTGCCTGTGAGTCCATCATGAAGAAGAAAACCAAGCAGGACTTCCAGGAGATGATCAAGGCTGAACACTGTGAGTGCTGTTCTCTGTTCCATATCTGTTGCTACGCTCATCCCAGTCCTTGCTCCACAGCTTCTGCTCTGACCCATGACCTCACTTGTCTCGGTCCTGGGCAGCCTCACACCTGTGTGGTCAAAGACATGGAATCCCAGACTGGTTCAGGTTGGAAGGGACCTTAAAGCTCCTGCAGCTCCAACCCCTGCTACAGGCAGGGACCCCTTCCACTGGAGCAGCTTGCTCCAAGCCCCTGTGTCCAACCTGGCCTTGAACACTGCCAGGGATGGGGCAGCCACAGCTTCTCTGGGCACCCTGTGCCAGCGCCTCAGCACCCTCACAGGGAAGAGCTTCTGCCTAAGAGCTCAGCTCAGTCTCCCCTATGGCAGGTTAAAGCCATTCCCCTTGGCCTGTCCCTACATCCCTTGTCCAAAGCCCCTCTCCAGGTTTCTTGTAGCCCCTTTAGCACTTCCAGATCATTTTATTGGGGTGGGTCTTCAGATCCTAAATAGGGTCAAAGCCACATCCTCAAAGGGCTGGTGAATGGTGGGCTAGGGGCACAGCATCATGAGCCTGCCCTGTTCCCTGAGGCTCGGGGAGGGAGGCTGAGCTCACAGTGCAGTCCTGGGCATGGGTGAAGTGATGGTGCCTCTGGCCCCGCTGCAGCTCTCCTGGAGGGCTTTGACATCCGTGAGAGCACCAGCTTCATAGAGGAACACATTGACCGGCAGGTAAGACCGGGTGGGAGGGGGGACAGGCTGCCCTGGCCTCTCCATCCTGCTGCAGGGACACTGGGGAGCTGGCAGCAGCCTGCCACCGCCTGCTCTGCTCCCACATAGGTGTCCCCCATCGAGAGCCTGCGCCTCATGTGCCTCCTGTCCATCACGGAGAACGGTGAGGCACCCGCCTGCACGGGGCAGGCACTGCAGCACCGCAGCCGTGGCACAGAGCTCACCCTGCTGCTTCCACAGGTCTCATCCCCAAAGACTATCGCTCCCTCAAAACCCAGTACCTGCAGGTGAGCAGTAGCTGGTGGCTCAGTGTACAACAGGCTTGTGTGGGACGGGGCTTCTCCTCCCTACTGCTGCTCAGGCACCTCTGCAGGACAGCCCCTGGCTCTGCCTGCCCCTGCCCTTTGCTGGGCTGCTCTAAGCAGCCTGTCCTCCCGCGGAGGTGGCACCGGTGCTGATCCGGTTCTGATCTGGCTGCCCCTTCCTCAGAGCTACGGCCCTGAGCACTTGCTGACCTTCCACAACCTGAAGCGCATCGGGCTGCTGACAGAGCAGGTGGCTGGGGAGACTCTGACTGCAGTGGAGAGCCGGGTCAGCAAGCTGGTGACCGACCGGGCAGCCGGTGAGAGCGGCTGCAGCCACATGGCAGTCATGGGTGCTGCGACACAGAGCGTGACCCCGGTGCTGGCTCTGCCCACGGGGGCAGCAGGGCTGCCTGCACCACTGTCTGCCCTGCTGCCAGTGGCTCTGTGTGTCTCTGCCCACAGGTTCTGAGCTGTTTCTCTTTGCCTTGTTTTCCAGGGAAGATCACGGATGCGTTTAATTCTTTGGCCAGGAAGAGCAACTTTCGAGCCATAAGCAAGAAGCTGGGGTTGGTACGTGCTCATGCGGCTCCTGCGCTGCCCACGTGCCCACTGGTGCCAGAGGAGCTCTGGTCTGTCTGTGCCTGTGACTGTGGGCTCAGCACCCACAGAGCCATGCAGCGCATGGGGCCGGAGCTGCAGCCACCCCAGGCAGGGGGGGTTCTCCCCTGGACAGGGGCTCACTGCAGTTTCCTGGTCTGTCCTGACTGGGCCCCGCTGGTGCAGTGGAGGGCTGGGCACTGCCAACACTACAGCCCTGCTCCAGCACGTTCAGCTGCCTGGCTCGGGGGTGGCAGCTCTGTAGCCTCTGTCCTGGGATGGCGGTGAGGTGACATTCCATCCCTGCCCTCAACACCCAGGCCCTCCGTTTGCTGGTGCTGGGGCAGTGGGGCAGGAGGTGGGGGCAAGGCTCACTCAAAGCCTCTGTCCCTCCCTGCCTGCACCTCGAGGGGGCCGGTGGAACCCCAAGCGGGCTTGGTCCTGTGCCCCAAGCACCGCACGTCTCTGCAGATCCCCCGGCTGGACGGCGAGTACGACCTCAAGCTGCCGCGGGACATGGCGTACGTCTTCAGCGGCGCCTACGTGCCCCTGAGCTGCAAGATCATTGAGCAGGTGAGCGCCACACGTGTGTCCCGAGCCCGGCCTGCGCCCGGGGGTCTCCTGCTGCTCACCCCTGCCCCTGCTGCAGGTGCTGGAGCGCCGGGGCTGGCAGGGCCTGGAGGAGGTGGTGCGGCTGCTCAACGGGCACGAGTTCTCCGTGTCAGGTAGCGCCGGCGCGGGGCGGGGGGGGGAGGCCGGGGCTGCGGGTCCCACAGGCTGTGCCCCGTGCAGACAGCGCGGCCGAGGACAGCGCGGCGGCGGAGGCGCAGCGCGTGGTGCTCGCCGTGTTCCTGGGGGGCTGCACCTTCTCCGAGATGGCGGCGCTGCGCTTCCTCGGCAAGGAGCGAGGTAGGGGCCGCCGGGGTGGGGCGGGGGCTCCCTGCTGCAGCTGGGCAGCGCTGGAGCCCCCGGGGACGGACGGGGGTCGGTCCGTGGCTCCCGGGCCCTCGCCGGGGCTCAGCGCGGCCTCTCCCGCAGGGTGCAAGTTCATCTTCCTGACCACGGCCATCACCAGCAGCGCCCGCGTCATGGAGGCCATGACCGAGGCTCGGGCCTGAGGCCGATAACGGCGGCTCCCGGCGCGGCACCGGGAGCGGGGGGGGCCCCGGTTTGGGCGGGGCCCGCCCTCCTACGGTCACGTGGTTGCCGTCAAACACGGAGCGCCGTTATGTGTGACCTGAGGGCGCTGGTCCCGCTTCTGATTGGCTTAAACGGGCCGAAGGGATTTGGCTGCCATTGGCTGGTGGCCGGCTTGGGGTGGGGCCGACCGCGAATGCGGCGGTTGTGGGCGGGGCCCGCGGTGACGCTGGCGCTGGCGGCAGCCAATCAGCGCGTCCGGAAGGCAAGTTTGTATCAGCGGAGCGAACGGTGCGCGCAGAGCGGGGCGGCAGCCATGAGGAAGAGGTGCGGGGCGGGCACCGGGACCGGCACCGGGACCGGGACCGGCACCGGGACCATCGGGGGGGGGACTGGGACCGCGGGGGGTTGGCGGCGGGGGCGTGGCCCGAGACCGGCCCCGGCCAGTGGCGGCGGCGGCGGTGGTGGTCGGGGCGGTGGGCGGAGGGAGGGGGTGCCGAGGGGGCTGTGTCGTCGCGGCCCCGGCGGTCGCTCATGTCGCTGTGCCGGTGCCCGCAGTGAGGTGGTGGAGGCCGAGGCCGTCTCGTACTTGAACCGAGCCATAGCGGAGCTGCGGAATATCTGGGACGAGATCGGCATCTCCGAGGAGCAGCGCCTGGAGCGCATCTGCACCGTCAATGTGCACATCAAGGTGAGGGCTGGAGCCCAACCGGGAGCGAGCACACGGGGACATGGCCAAGGCTGTGTCCTGGCCGCGCGCTGCCGGGGCTCCCCCGGGGCCGTCCCTCGGCTCGGCCCCAGCCGTGGGCCCGCTCTACAGCCCCGGTTCCCTGCCCCTTCCCTTCTCCATCCCCGTGGCCCGCCTCTAACCGCGGCCGTGCTGCAGAACTTGCTGGACATGATGGTGGCGGAGGAGGAGGGCCTGAAGAAGCGTCTCTTGAAGAGCATCGCCCTCTGCCGGAATGAGCTTGACACTCTCTGCAAGGAGCTCCAGCTGGACCCCGTTGAGGTGAGGTGCTGCCTCCCTCTCCCGGTATCCTGCTGGCGATAGTTGGTTGCTGTCTGGCCTCTGCCTGGCGTCCTAGGGAGGCCGGAGTCATTCAGAACCCTTTTTCCTGATGCTTGCTAGGGCTGGAGCCTCTGTGGCTCCTCGAAGGGAGATGGATGTGAGGAGGGCAGGGGCCTTGCAGCATCTCATTTTGTGTGTTGCTGCTGTGTTTGTGCCTTCCAGGGGAGCCCCTTACTCAGCACAAGGGCTTGTGTCTTCATTTAAGGAGTCTTAAGTTTTGTTTAAGAACTTTAAGGAGAGCTGCAAGTCAGCTCTGCAAGAGCTGATGTCTGTGCTCTTGCAGGCAGAGGAAGAAAGTACCATCCTGCAGATGGAGAAGAATCTGCGTGCCCGCGTGGAAGTGATGTTAAAGCAGAAAAGGGACAGAAAGCAGGAGCTCAAAACCCTGCAAGAACAGGATCAAGACCTCTGCAGCATCCTCTGCACAGCCCCATTCAGCATCGACAGCAATGCTGTGCCCAGCCTGGAGGACCTGGATTGCTACAGGCGCCACGTGGCCTCCCTGACCACCGAGAAGGTAATGGGGATGGGGCGAGGGCCTTGCCAGGGGGCACACAAGGGGCTCACTGGTTCCTGACGCTGTTCCTCATCTCCAGGAGAAACGGCGAGAGGAGTTTGTCAGCAGGAAGCGCCAAATCATCCTCCTCATGGAGGAGCTGGACCACACTCCAGACACGAGCTTTGAGCGGGAGGTGGTGTGTGAGGATGAGGATGCTTTCTGTCTGTCTGAGGACAACATCGCTGCCCTCCAGCACCTGCTGCAGCAGGTACTTGGCTCGCTGAGGCAGTGCCGCTCACAGGGCACAGGCTGTCAATGGGCATCACTCAGTGATCAGCCTGAGGGCCAGGGGAGCTTTCTGAGGCCAGTGAGCCAGCATCGACTCGTGTACATGGGGCCACGCTGACCTGGAGCTGTCCCCTTGCAGCTGGAAGCCCAACGGTCCCTGAACGAAGCCGTGTGTGCAGAGCTGCGCTCCAGGATCCTCGTGCTCTGGGAGCGGTTGCAGATCCCTGAGGAGGAGAGAGTGGCCTCGGCAGTGCACATGGCTGGGTCCAGGGCCAAAACCATAAAAGCTGTAAGGATCATCCTGTACCTCGCTGTGGGAGGGTGGGGGGCAGCAGCTCTGTGTCTCACACTCCTGAGTGGAGGTTTTTCCCACAGTTGGGTGCAAGGCAAATAGGACAAGTCCCGCCCTTGTTGCGGGAGCTGGGATTTGCTGTTGGCAACTGCCTTGGCTTAGAAAGTGGTTTATGCAGAAGATAAATTCTGTTCTGTTCCTTTTTTTATGCTGCCTTCTCTAAGGCTGTGCTCTGCTCTTGTTGGCAGCTGCAGCTGGAAGCGGACCAGCTGGAGGAGATGAAGCTGCAGAACATGAAGTCTGTGGTTCAGGCGATCCGGGCAGAGCTCGCTGTCTACTGGGACAAATGCTTCTACAATCAGGAGCAGAGGGAACGCTTCAGCGCTTATTACGACGGTGGGTGCTGGCTCTCCCTGCTTGCTGACTCCCCTGTGGACTGTGTGCTGCCCCGAGGGCTGCACTCTGCTCGCAGCTGGGATCCCGGCTGCCTCCTGAACATGCTGTTGTATCCTCTGCAGAAGACTATACAGAGACCCTGCTCGAGCTCCATGATGCTGAGGTGCAGAAGATGAAGAACTACTATGAAGCACACAAAGATCTGTTTGGAGCTGTCCAGAAATGGGAGGAGAACTGGAAGCTGTTCCTGGAGCTGGAGGTATTGTCCGGGCAGGAGTGTGCTCTGCCAGGCTCGGGGCTAGGTCAGCACCAGTGCACACGTCTGCTTCTGTGTGCAAAGTGCTGTTGGGAATAACCAAGGAGGCACTGAGAACCCCGGTGGGTTGGTGAGGGGAGGGGATGGGGCACTGTTGGAGCATTGTGGTTGGTGCTAGGGACTCTGCAGCAGGGATTGTTCCTCTGGGGCTGGTGTCCTAAGGGTGTGTGTTGGGCTCTCTCCTGACCTCTCGCCTGTACCAGAGGAAAGCATCTGATCCCAGTCGCTTTGCCAACCGTGGGGGAAACCTGCTGAAAGAAGAGAAGCAGCGAGCAAAGCTGCAGAAGACACTTTCCAAGGTAGGTTCAGCCCTGGAGAAGAAGCTGTCGCTAGACCTGCATAGCGCTGAGACAAGCGCAGCACACGGGGCCAGCAGTGTGTCCCTGGGCACAGGGATCTCCCCGTTCTGGGGGCAGTCTCCCTACACTGCCCTTGTGTCCTCATCAGCTGCAGGAGGAGCTGCAGAGCAGGGTCCAGGCCTGGGAGCAGGAGCAGGAGGAGCCCTTCCTGATGAGGGGGCAGCAGTTCATGGAGTACATGATGGAGCAGCAGCAGCTGTACCACCTGGAGAAAGAGAAGGAGAAACAGGAGCGGGTGAGTGCGGGGCTGCACGTGAGCCTCTGCTGCACTGCATGCCAGCAGCTCATTGATGGTGCATTGCACACCAATGGTTCAGCAAGTGTCTTGGTGGCCCTGCCATGCCTGGCTGGGAGCTGCCCCAGCTGCTGCTCTCTCTTCTCACTCTCTGCCTGGAAGCAGCTTTGTGTGCAGCCACCTTTCCGTGACAGCAGGACTGGTGTCCATTGCTGTCAGTGTCTGTGTGTGTTGAGCCCCTTTGTTGGTCCCAGCTGTGCCAGAGCAGCCCCTTGGCTCTGGGTACCTGTAAACCTGTTGACACAGCTGCTGCATGGCTGTGCCATGGGCTGACTGGTCCAGGCTGGCAGAAGCTGCGCTGCTGCTCGGCTGGGCTCTCAGCGCTGGTGTCTCACACAGCAACTGAAGAAGAGCCGGCAGATGGAGGCAGAGATGATGTACGGCAGCACCCCACAGACACCCATCAAGCGGCGGGTGCTGGGCCCCCACACCCCCAGCAAAATGCGGAAGGTAAAGCTGTGTGTGCAGCAGCGTGGCTACGCTGGGCCTCGCGGGGTCACCGCAGCCCTGCCTGGACTGGGGCTGCCCTTGGTCCTGGGCAGAGATGTGGTGGGGTTTGGGAAGCTGGGGGCAGGCCCCGGCCGTGGGCACCTCTGTTCCCCTGGGGCCAAGGGGCCTGTTGTGCTCTGGAGGCTCTGCACAGCCGGCGCTTGCACCCAGGCTTCCCCAGCATGGTGCAGCTGTGTGTGACACGGGCTCTGCTCTCCCTGCAGCTCAATGGCAATTCCACCTCCAGCATGACACCCAACAGCACCGTGCGCTCGGTTTTCGGGGCAGCCATCCACCGCTCGCCAAAGTCTAAGCTGCCGCCCTCCGGAGGGAAGGTAAGGAGCTGCCCGGGAGGAGAGGGGTGAGCTCTGCTGTCTCCTTGGGCTTCACTGCTCCTCTGCCGCGCTCCTGCAACAGCCCCTCTGTGTCTGTGTGCTGCTGGGCCGGGCTGCTGCCACCCTGGCAGGGCGTTCCTGGGGTGTGAGGGAGGAGGAGGAGGGTGGCGACAGCACCCAGGAGCTCTTCCTCCAGCCCCCATTTCTGCTGTTGCTCAGTGCTGAGCCTGCCACCTGGGGGGGGACCCTCAACACGCACGAGTGCTGCTGCATGTCCCCGGGCTCAGCCCAGTGCCCTGCAGGGCTCCTGCAGCGTGGAGCTGCTGCGGTGCAGCCAGCGCCCGCTGCTCCCTCACTCCTGTGGCCCCTCTCGTGTGGGTTCTCCCGCAGGTCGGCTCTGCTCGGACCCCCGGCCGTGCCGCCGCCAGGCCGCCCCGTCCCGGGCACAGGGAGCGGAACAAGGAGAACGTGTCACAGCTGAACGGAACCGCCCTGAGCGGTGGGTGCACCCCCAGAGCCCCCACCCAGCGTAACCAGAGCATTAATTCTGTTCCCAGCACCTATTCTGACTTTGCGGTAATTCACCTCTTCTCCCCCCGACTCCCTTCACTGGGCAGCACAAGGGGGGGTGCTCCCCCCTCCCAGAGCACCCCACGGGGCAGCAGCTCTTTGGCTCCCCAGCGAGAACTCAAAATTGAGGTTTGGTGGCCAAGGCCAAGCCCTGCCCATGTCCCGGGAAGGCCCTGAGCAGGCACTGGGGAGCA